TGTTGCATTTACAAACAAACCAATTCTGGTTATATCTAGAGAGTTCTTCTAATCTCAGTGATATCATACTACTATATATTGCAAGCTTCTAGCTTATTCAATAATATCTGCAAGACAATTCTAGTTATGTCCCAGAAAGTTACACTGACCCCAGTAATGTCATACTATCTTGCAAATCTTATGTCATATTAGTTAGTTGATTCAGTCTTGTTTGTCATAGGCTTCCATATAGATATGACCAAAAATTCAATTTGGTACTTTTATATTGCACAAAGAAGTTATATGCCAATCTCTAAGTTTTTTCCTTCTATAATTAGATTATTAAGCTATGCCAAAGATCCTTTTAATTCTTGATTAGATTAATCTTTTATTATAGCCTGTCCTTATGTTCATCACTTCTCTTATTATTTCAGTTTTAATTATTTTCAGAATACTTTTCCAATCAAATCCTCTTCTTGAATCCTAATTAAGACTTATTTATACAATTTGTTGATTATCCTTCTAAACAAGTACTTCACATGTTGGATGCAGGAATGTTGGTACTGCCTATATTATAAGGTATAAGGATGTTGGTGCTGCTCTAGCCTAAAGGACTTATATGTGCAATCTTTTCATAACTGTAACTTTCTGTAACAACTGCTTGTTACACATAGTGTCTGCACTCCATGATTGGGTTTCTTTCTAGAAATTCCTATTTCTATTATTTTATTACACTTAGACTTAACTACAGGGCTTTGCATTTAATTACAAGCTCTTTATTAGGTTATAGAAGCTAAAATCTTTCAATTTTGCTTTTAGCAAAACTTGAATCATTAATTTTAACTATGAAGAGTATAGAAGCTTAACTGCTAAGCTATAGAACCTACACCTTCATTTCTTGCTTTTTTGATTATTTGTTAGAGAATAAGTATATTAGTATATGACAAGTTTTAATTTATAATAGGTATATGAATTTTGATATACATTAATAGACATGCTGATTGCTATAGTACAATATTTTATATAATTATATGCTTATAGGTACATAATGGCCAGTATTACTAAAATAAACTTATCTTAATATTAATTTCAATCTTAACTCAAATCAATACTATATCTATAATTTTTATCTTATTATTAAAATTATATAATAAATTTTTTTTTTTTAGTATATATATTATACTGCTAAATTAGGTATAGATTTTGATAAAATTTTTTTAATTTAATTCTATTAATAAGTCAAATTAATATTAAAAAAAACCTTTATAGAGTACTAGTTAATAATATATAAAATTAATATTAAATTTAGATTAGTATTCTTGTTGTCACATTCTGTTGAATAATTGTGATTTAATTTTTTGAAAGGCTATATAATTATTAAAATATTGTTGAATATGCTGTTTAATAAGTAATAGTTTAGTTTAATATTATTTAGTTCTTGAATATTATCAAACTTAACAGGATCTTTGTATTATTTAAGTATATTATTGATTATTGATGTTAGACTATTTTGAAATTTAGTACATTTTTTAGCTATGTTGTCATTAATTTGTTCTCTTATATTTTTAATATTTTTTAAATTTTGAGATAATAGAGTGTTTTCATGTAGTATTAGTTGCAAATATCTAGTTAGATAAAAGATTAGAGTTTACATATATTGAGATAATAAAGAGAATTAAGTTAATGAATATCTAGATTATGAAATATAAACACAAAAGTGTGGTTACAAGTTGAAACTTTGATTTGTCTAATAATATTGTCTAATTTTTTAAGTTCTAAGTGTAATTTGGATGTCTTGAAAGAAAAGATATGTTAAAAGTATAAATAGTAAATTTTTTGTTTAGAATATATTAAAGAGCAGCTGTAATAATACTAGTTTAAATTTTGTATAAGAGACTTCAAGTAATTCTATAGCATTAATTATAAAAAAAACATTATTATTTTTAAGATTGAATGTAATTTGAGTAGTGAAATTTTACTAGAACTCTTGGTTTATTTATTTATAGCTAAATACTTTATGCTTAGTTTTGGTTACTGATCATTGTTTACTAGTAATTATATAGATAAATTCTTAGAATAATATTAATATATTATAATTACTAAGTGTACTTTAGTTGATATTATTTATGTAATAAGAATTTAGATATTAAATAATAAACTAGTTAGTTTAGATATAGTTAATTTGACATTATATTTGTTATTATGTCAGATAAGAATTAAAGATTATATATATTTTGCTAAATTATACATATTATTGTATTAAAAAAAATAAATTAGTTTAAGTTTAATAGATGATAATTGTAAGTTGTCAGAAACATTAAAATTATCTATAACAATTAGTTGTATATTATTTATATTTACTTCTTAAATCTATTGTATAATATTGTTTTAGATATGAAGTCTAAGATTATTATAAGATAAGTAAATTGATATAATATAAAATTTGAAGTTATATTTAAAGAAAAGATCTATTGTAATATTTTGTAAATATGTGATTTAAGATACTTTTGAATCATAATACCTGTTCCAACTATCAGTATATAATCAATAATAAGTAAAGTGTTAAGAACTTAATAATTGAACATATGTATTATTTTGTAAAATTTTAGTTTCTATAATGTTAGTGATATTAATATTATAAGATAAACAGTAATTTATTCATGTTTGTTATTTTAAATTATTATTATATTCTCATATATTATATATGTATATAGACAAATAAAATGGTTTGTATAAGGTATATATAAGTGTTTCAACTATTAGTACTTAAGAAGCAGATGTAATATGTAGATTCTATATACTTAATAAATTAATATTATTTAAAAAATTTAATTTATATTTACTATTTACTTTAAAACTGATTAAGTTTATTATTTATTAATTAAAATTATTTTTAAAATCAGATATACTAAATAATTAATTGTGAAGTAAATTAATTGTAACTATTTGAATCCAATTAATTGATTGGTAGTAAAGTTACAGAAATTTGATTAATTGTAATTTTTGAAGTTTAAAAAATGTAATGATCTTATAAAATATATAATAATAACTATAAGTATGAGTATATTTGAAGATATTTGATATCAAAACTTATAGTTTTTAAATTAAATTGTATAAACCATGAGAACATTAATTTATATTCCTTTACAAATACATATATATAGTACAACATTCTAAATTTTTTATTTTAAATCAGTTTCAATGAATGTCAAAGTTTTAAACAAATATTATATAAATACTTTTTCAGACCTTCAAATGACAACAGACATTAGTGTAGTTTATATTATTCTAATCATAATCAGTAGTGTTCCTCTGAACATAACCAATATCAAAAGATACTTTTTTTAGACCTTCAAATAATGGCAAACATTAATGCAATTTATATTTTTCCAGAATATACTCGATAATAACACTCTTTTTAGATCTTCAAATAATAATAATTATCAGTATAACCTACATTTTTCAATAATGCCTTTACAATTAAAAATATCAGTATAATTTTTGTCCTTTAAGTCATAATCAATAGTGTTCTTCCAGACTATTTTATATATAAGATATTATTAGTACAGTATGTATACTCAAATGTGATTTTTACAGTATACTTCATTACTTTACTAAATTATACACCACTAGCATTCGTAATACTGATCACAAAGCTGTATAATATTTTAAACTGATTACATATAAATCATTATGTATATCCCTTAATTTAATGAATCTTTAATGATTAGCAATTATCATTCTATCAACTCAACAAAAAATTCTACAAAAAAAAATAAAAAATGCCAAATATAAGGCAATTACACAAATTAATTTAAACCGAGTTACTAATTTTTGCATCTAAGATTATTGCGTTTAATATCATTTGTTATCATAACTATGAATAACTTATGTTTTTATTTTTTTTGTATTCAAATTATACTACCTAATCACATATCTGAATGTGTGTATATATCTGTTAATCTATATGTGTAATGAATTCAGGTGTAAAAAATAATCACATGATGAATTAATATGTAAAAAATTAGATAGCTTTGTAATATAGTTATGCAAAAACCATGAATGGAGATATGTCTTTGTTTTAAAAAAAATTTATAAAATATAATAATTATTATAATTTGTAAAGTTACATTAAAATAATATTTAATATTTGTTTTAATGTTTTTTTTTTTTAAAATAATTAGAGTTTAGTATAAATAATAATAAAATACATAATTATAAGATAGTAAAAATTAAATTTATATAATTAATTAATAGATATAAAATAATTGAAAATATAAAATATATAGCAAATAATAGTGTAAATAATAGTGTAATTAATTTGTTTAACAATATAATTTATAGTATTTTATAGATATATTTGATACGTTAAAAATGTCACTCTATTAATATCATGTGAGACTAGACCAGCCCTGAACTAGTCTCTAAAAGTCCACTCCTAAACCAGTTTCCTAGGCAAAATATGGTTGTATGACGAAGTGAGGATTCTAGGTTTCAGTAAAACTGCAATAGTCAAGTAACTGTGAAGCATAGTGCACAAAAGCAAAGAACGGGTATATATGAATACGAAATAACAGTATTATAGTTAGAGATGCAAAAATCGAGGATTTTTCGAATCTACTGCGCAGGCTGCGCAGCCTGCACAGGCCTGCATTACAGCTAATGCGGGCCAAAATTGTTAAATTCTGCGTTATTACGAAAAATTCCAGGCTTCTGAAATATTCCGCCTGCGCAGTGTCTCATCCCTAATTATAGTTCTTAACTAACACTATTATCATTACATGTTACCATATATCATAATACAAGTCCCTGCTAGGAAAAACATCCTTCGACATTTTCTGATCACCAAACTTATATCAACATGCACAAATCATCTTTTGGATTCATCAATACAATAGACTACTGAATGAACTACTGAATCAATAAGGGCAAACATCCATTGATCTGAAACGTCGAATGGTAATTTTTCAGGTAAAGACTGCATACGATTTTCAATACCTGTTTAAACATGATTGCACAATTTAGAATACGCGGTGATGGCTATGATCACGCCGACCAATAAGGGTAAGATTTTGCACCCGCACACCATTTCTCCCACAGGTAAGCCATACCCTCCGTTTCACTCCATTCCTAGTATAACCAAAATTTGATGAATCAATCATGCGGACCAATCAAACTTAAGATTTTGTGGACGGATACCATTTATTGTTCCATATAAACCAATATACTACGTTATTTCATCACTCCGTTCCTGGTATATGTTTATTGAATGATGTATATAATTTTAAAACTCCCTTATAATATATCCAAGAACCTTGTTAAAATAAATAATTTTCATCAAAATTTGTTTAGCAGTTATTGAGAATTTTAATTAAAATTATAAAAACCATCATGGCCGTAGTCCTATTTTTCATGATTTTTAATGGGTTTAAAAAAAGTCAAATAAAGTTGTCTCGATTACTACCAAGTCAAGCTTAATGAAGCTTTTTTATTTCAATCCCACAAGCTTGTAAAATTAAAATAAAAAAAGTTTATTAAATTTAATCACAGAAACCTTCGCTAGAAGATAGAAAAAATATCAAAATTTAAAACGATCGTCACATGTTTACGTAGTACAAGTCAATCAAAAAAGGAGCAAAAAATCAAACCCGATATGTCTCCAGCCGAAATTAAATATAGCGGCTTGTCTAGAGATGCTGCAAATCACTAGGGCCGGTGAAGTAAATCTCTGGTCCATACCGGTATAATTGTCATTTTTTATTAAATTTCTTTTTAAACCCGATATTTGTGTTACCAGATTGTATCACAAAATTTGACATTTTTTTATTTTTATATAGTAATAACGCCAAGAATCATCATTTGATTTTTCTTTGACAACATGAAGCTGTTTCTAGTATTACCAACCTAAAAAAACTTGATTATCAAGTAAATTAAATTTCAAAATCAGGTATAATATAAAATCAAATCAAAAATACACCCAAAACTAACACTAACGCTGGTAGCAAAATTTTTTTTAGATAGATGATGCTAGTGTCATAGGCAGTTTGCACTATTGAAAATAATATTTTACGACCAAAAGATGTGAAATAAATTAAAATTGAGCCTTCAACATTTTCAAAATCCTTTTCAACATCGGTGCTTTATGTTCATTCTTTTCAATTGGGTGGTACTTGTGGTAAGTATTAGCAGGATTTTAATTGGTTTAATTACTTTTTAAATACCAGATATTGCTAATGCTTCTAAAATTGAATAAAAAATTCCTTTCTCATAAAGATATACATTTCTTCAACGATTTCATTAAGAAAGTCTTAGATCCATGTATCTCATAAAAGCCTCTCTTTTTTGACTCTGATCCCATTTAAGATGATAGATACCAAGTGTAAATATTTCACTAGAATTCCAAATTCTGCAACACATTACCATAACGATTTAACCCATATGATCATTTTGATTTCGTTAAGCAAAAATTGGGAATTTCGTGCATCAGCATCAACAAAAATAAGGAAAATGTGACAAATTATCGCTTGAATTTTATGTATGCCACATGATCGACAGAGGGAATGAGGTAGAAACAATTTGGCAAGGTTTAGGATGACTATCGAGCGCGTTGCAAAGATAAGTAAATAGGTTTTTAAAGAGCAATTTTGGCTTTGGTGAATTTTTAGAGTTTTTATTGACGAATTATTTTGTAGGGCACAACTTACTACTGCTACAAGAGAGAAATCCACCTATTATTTATCATGAAAATACAGAACAAGAACAAAATCGAAACTTCTTGACATTCTACTGTCATTAAACCTAGGCTGATTTGAACTGACTCTCTACCCTTTACACAAAGCCTCCGTCATTAGCTCATTGTGCAAGGGAAAAAAGGCAAGTTGGAAGAAAAAAACGTTCACACCATTATTATTGCACCATCGCTCTTTGCCAATTAACAATCATTCATCCATTATTTTTTTTCATTTCCCACGGTCACACACTTAAACCAACAAAGTAATATTACCTTTGACAGCTGTCAGTCTAAATCGGGTAAGTGGCTTTTATTATATATGATCTGCGTCATTAACTCAATGGTGCTTGGATCTAACTCTTCCTACAGGAGATTGTCATTCGACTTTTCAGGGTCATTGGCACTATTATTCTCGGTCTAGTTGTTGTATGTGTTACGGGCTCGATTTCAGGTCTTCTTTAGGCTATTGTTCCATGAAAAATTGAAGTAACGTGAGGATACACTATGTTAAAGTGAAGGTATTAATAAGATTTAATTGTTTTTTTTTTTCTACCTATCAGATATTGTTCTAATGCGTCTGGAGTTAAATAGAAATTTCTTCATCATAATAACATATTCCTTCAACGACTTATGAAGAAAATCTCGATATGTTTTATAATTATGTTCATCCTTTTCGACTCCAAACGATAGCGTTTCAAATTATTGCGACCTATTTACCATAAAGATCAAGAACAATTTGAATCATAGGATCATTTTTGATCTTGTAAGCAGAAATTGATAATGTCATATCAAACCTTAATTTAGAGTTTCGTTGAGTGCATATGTTTAGATACGGATAAGTATTAGTGTTGAATGTAAACTTCTTCGTTATAATGATTAAATATTTCTTTAATGATTTTATTAAGAAAATATATGTTCTATAAGTGCAGGTTTTCATTCGTCCTTTTCAACGCCAATTCCACTTCCATAACAATAACCAACATTATTAACTCCACCATCTCTGCAGACTGTTGATAATACATTAAAAAGCCTTATATACGTCCTTCTCAACCCCAATTTCATTTGTCCTATTGAACTCTAATTCAATTATGAAATCTACTGCTAAGTGCAAATATTCCATCAGCATACTCAATTTTTGCTGAATTCATGATGTTTATCCTTTTCAATCTCTTTACAGATTTACAATAACAACAATGACTTGCAATAACGATTTGAATTATACGATTAATTGATCATATATAGAAAGATTGATCATATTATTTGGGTTTGTTTCTTATTTATTATAACTTATTTTAATGTCAGAATTGAATTGGAATGTCTTCATTTAAAATCGTATAAGAACCAAATTTACGATATAATGTTTGCATATTATTGAAACATTAAAAAATCACATTTAGGAAGAAGTTCGAATATGCTCTTTAAATAAGCTACATTATTTAAGGTTAAAGTGGATTAGGGTCTAGAGTTCTAATAAGCTTCTTTTACGGGTTTATGTATGTGCATAATTTAACTGATTTGTTAATTTTGGTCAAATAAATCAATATCTTTCAATTTGAAGCAAAAATAAACAAAGTAGTATCGCTAATGTAAAATACAATACAAAATAAAAATATAATAAAATTATATTATGTAACATGTGTAAGAAGTATAAATAAAATAATATAATATGATATTGTATTATATGAAAATTCTACGATGCTATTGACAATTATCCTGGAAAAATCGGCTAAGTCAAATTATTGGTTTTCCAAAACTGGGATCATACTATTCTTAAAATTTCTGCTTGAAAATATGAGCAAGGTTGAATAGTTTCAACTAGATGATTAATCGATTAAATTATCAAGTCGGTAGAATATAAATCAACATGTATTCAATCAAAAAACAATTACCGGTATTTAGCTAAGTGGAGCTACATAGTTACATGTATATTTTGCTTGTGTAATTACTTTTTAAATACTAATAAAAATTTTTTTTATTGTGATATTTTTTAGTAATAATAAAGTTTCTTCAAACCTAATTTAATAATAAGCCTAATTCTATTCTAATGATAAAATTTTTTTCAGATAGTGATGCTAGGTTTCTAAACTCATCCTGATTTGGTTTTTCCTTTATTGGATTTTGGGCATTATTCACATTTATTGATCTGGAGCATAAAGAAGGATCGATTATGAAGACAAGTGTAATCTGGAAATTTTGTCTGCTCGCACGCTTGTTCAAATTTGTAAATTAGTGTAACGAAAAATATGCACATTCGATAATCTCCAGCTATAAGATGCATTTGCCAAAACTTCGATATTTACAAGATTTTGTATATTGTAATATTAGATATCCTAATTTTATTTTCTTCCTCTCTTGATCTTTCTCTCTTGATCTTCCTATCTTGATCTTCCTCTCAACATGATTGAACTCCCAAATGAATGTTATTATATTATTTTTAGCAACTTCCATCAAAATCATAAAAACCTATTTTCCTGCGCCCTTGTAAATCGTCGTTTTTGTAGAATTGTTGTACCGA